CCCCCCCGCGCCAGGGGGCGCCCCTCCTCGCCCGCCAGGGGGCGCACCGCCCCGCCCCACTCAGCGCCGCCGGAAGTGCGTGCAGCGACGGAAGCGGAAGTGCTCAGCGAGGAAGATGGCGACGCTCGGGGCGTTGGGGGCTGCGGAGGACGCGGTGAGGAGATGGCGGCGGCCGGTGGGGGGGCCCGCCCCGTCTCGTCCCGCTCCGCCGTCTGAGCACGGGCTGTTTCAGGGCTCGTCGGGCTCGGAGGACGAGGCGGGGTCCTGCGCGGCGGCGGCAGCCGCGGCCGAGGCGGCGGCGGCGAAGCGGGAGCAGCGGCTGCGCAAGTTCCGCGAGCTGCACCTGAAGCGGGTAGGCCCGGCGGGCAGCGGGGCGGGCCCGGCGGCGGCCGAACTCCCTCGAGCTGCCGGCTGCGCCCGCAGAACGAGGCCCGCAAGCTGAACCACCAGGAGGTGGTGGAGGAGGACAAGAGGCTGAAGCTGCCGCCCAACTGGGAGGCCAAGAAGGCCCGGCTGGAGTGGGAGCTGCGCGTGCAGGAGAAGAAGAAGGTGAGGAGGAGGACGGTGCAAAACGTCTCGTTAAAGGTTATATTGAATTATGGTTAAAATGCTGCTCGTGCCGCTTCAGGAATGTGCCGCCAGGGGAGAGGATTACGAGCGGGTTAAGCTGCTGGAGATCAGCGCTGAGGATGCGGAAAGGTGGGAAAGGAAGAAGAAGAGGAAAAATCCAGATCTTGGGTTTGCAGGTAATGTCCGTGTGTTTGTATGTGTTTTTAGTTGCTTTTGCCAGCTGGATTGCAGGGTCCTCTAACGGTAGCTCCGTCTCGTCTAAGATTACGCGTCCGCCCAGCTGCGCCAGTACCAGCGGCTGACCCGGCAGATCAAACCCGACCTGGAGCAGTACGAGAAGCTGAAGGAGCAGTAGTGAGTGTGATTGCAGCCCTCCTGGGCCCCCCAAACGGGAGTCCTGGATTTTCCAGAAGCTTAAAACTAACTCCTGGCAGCAGGAGGAAGCAACTTTGTTAAATGCCTTAAAAATACCTGGGAAGTTTTGAACAGTCCGTGTTAGTGCTGTAAACTGCCGCTCGGTTCTCTTGCGCAGTGGGGAGGCRCTCTACCCGACCTCCGACAGTCTCCTCCACGGAAGCCACGTGCCCTCTAAAGAAGGGGTTGATAGAATGGTTGCAGACCTCGAGAAACAGTAAGTAAACAGTAYGATTTAATGAAAGGAGTGTTTGGAGGTCACGTCCCTCTCAAAACAGGGCTGGTTTTTGCCTTTCCCTAATTTTCCGAGAGTGTCTCTGAGACACAGCATGAACCCCGTCACCCTCAGGGCTAAGTGAGTGATTCCCTTTAGAAAAACACTGCTGAAAACCTACCCTTTTCTTTGTACTGACACCAAGGGCAGGGTACTTGTAAAAGGCGAGTAAAGCAGTAGTTGCCCCTACCTTGTCTTCATTGTCACAGTAGTTTGGAACAGTGAATGTGCTCTTTTAATTTGACTTAGTATCCTAAAATTCTAGTGACCAAAGTTAGGAATAATGATACAGTATTCTACTAATTACACTTTGTAGAACTAAGAATATCTCTGTGATAGAGTAAGTAGTGATTATACTTTTTCTTCACTATTTTTTCTTAATACTTCTCARGCAAACTAAACAAACAGCTTTATAGCATTTATCACTTAAAATAGGTCAACTTCTGTTGTTATTTTAAATTAGAATTTTTTTCTATACTTAAAAGAGTGTCAGTAACCAGTATGTCCCAGCCATCAGCATTCTTCCCCAGGTCTTCACTAATGTTTGTCTTGCAGAATTGAAAAGCGTGAGAAATACAGCCGGAGACGCCCCTACAACGACGACGCAGACATCGACTACATCAAYGAGAGAAACGCCAAGTTCAACAAGAAGGCGGAGAGATTCTACGGGAAGTACACAGCTGAGATCAAGCAGAACTTGGAGAGGGGAACAGCRGTCTGAACTGCCCTCTCCAGGGTTGGCTGTGATATTACAGCCTTTTTACATCTATTACAGTTTGGTAGGAAGATATGAACATGTGTAGTGGGAAAAAACTCTCTTGTAGATTGCTCATTAAGTAGTGTAAAATCTTCTGTAGTAGGAGATGGTGTAAAAGCTTTACTAGTAACATCAGCTGTATATAGCTCTTAACTGCAGCCGTAGCCAGCTCTTTCCCCTCATACTTCAAATAAAGACAAAAAATAAACTCTTAGGGCTCAGCTTGGAGTGTCTCTACTCTTCATTATCTGAATACCTGAGAACACCTAACACCAGTGTGAAGGAACGCTCTGGGAACACAGGCTGCCTTGTTGTGAAAGGGAACTCAAACAAAGCTCTTGAGGAACTTGCAGCTCCAACCCCTCCCAGGCAGCAGCTCCGGGGTGGCRAGGGCCCTGCTCCAGGGAAACAAACCACCTCTTCCCCTCCTGCAGCAAGGGGAAGACACAGGAACAGTTCTTCAGAACTCAGAAGTGCAGCAAACTCCCTAACCCTTTACAGGGCTTGGCAGGGCTCTCTTAACAATTCTAMACAAACTGCAGTTCGTGCTGGACTGCAGTAATTCCTGCTCTCCAGCRGAACACTAATTACTCTGTGTTCCATGAAAAATAAAGCCTGGAAGTGCCTGAAGGTAGGGAAATTTCTCTTTCACACAAGCAGCAAGCTGATCAATTAAGGAAAAACCACCAACCCAACATCCTGGTGTGGCACAGAACAGACCCAGAAGCCGACCAGACCATTCTCCTAAGGCAGCATTATGTTCTTGAATGCTATTTAAATAAAAGTTGAAGCATTCACAGAGCAGTATGCAAAKGAAGTTTATTTATTAAAAATTTATTTTTACACAAGATCCAGTTTTAAGTAATTACTCCCTCAAGCATCACCAAAGATTATGCAATATGGCATTTACTTGACTGTATCCTTCTCTTCATGGAGTCTTGGGGCAGCACGGAGGCAAGTGTGTGATATTGCTAAACTGTGATGTTTCTGAGCAGTTACAGGACCCTGTCCAGTTCTAAACTTGAACAGCTGATCAAATGGAGCCCCTCCACCAGCCCTTACTATGTATGTGCTTCCTGCTTTACAGCATGTGCTTTTAAAGGTGGTTTTAAAGCATCCTAAATCAAAACACAGGTCTTTATTAATCCGCAGGGGAAGATTAAGCCAGAAGTGAGAGTCCTGCAGGTGCAGCACTTCCAGAGTCATCATGGATTTGCCCATGGCAGCCAGGAAATAATACCAGAACTTTCCCCTTTTGATGGTGGTTAGGGAAGCTCCTCTGGAGGTCCTGAACTATCCCCAGTCTCTACTGTTACTATTTTCAATAGTCACTTTCAAGTGGATGTAAAAGTTACCTTCCATCGCACTTTGCCTTAATAGTATGGTGACTAACTGAAAGCTAAAACTGCAGTAAGTCACTTCTACAGGAACTACAAACAGGGTATGTGAATCTGTTATTGCAGACAGGTCTAATACTTGACACAGAGAAGCCAGTGCAAAACTAGAATTTATTTTCCTTGCATAAACAGTTAAACAATTCAAATGTTCAAAATAAGAGCTACTATACTATTGTTTAGAAAATTTACCCACCTGAAAGTTCTAGTCCATTAAATCAATACAAAAATATTTACAATTTTATACAAGATTCCCACCTGTGGCTTCTGGGTCACTGTGCTCTATATCTGAAAGAGAAATCTAAGATTATGAAATTAAATATCTCAAAATAAATACTCAGTATTAACCAATTTTCAACCTGATCAGAAAACTTCAGACYTCACTACTGAAGCATGTATAATACGCAGTCTTTGAGAGACAGCAGAAATATGCTAGCGTGCCCGGAACGGTGCACTTTTAGGCGAGAAGTTTAAAAACTTGTTCTCCTCTTTCTTGATAGGAACCCACTGCCCATAGGGACTTCCCTTTTTGTCATCATCTCTTCCTGGAGAAATCCCCGTCTCTTTAGTTGCATGGCCCGCTGGCTTCTGCAATATTGGTTTGGCCATTATATTCTGTAAAACAAAACAAATTAAGAACACTAGAAAGAGAAGTAACAATCATTTTAATACATTGCTGTGGTACAGAAAGCTACTGCTGAAGCACTGTTCCGGCTTCCTCAGGAAAGTAGTTAACAAGCCATCAAATCCAAGTTGTTCCCATGATCGTTATTACCCAAAGCTGGAGAAATCCTAATACAGGAGGGATGAATACCAGACTCATCTGAGAAAAGTGCACTTACATTGGGGCTGAAAGAAATGCTTCTCTGGGGGGTAGTTCTCTCCATTCCACTTTTGGTTACATCTTCTGTCAGTCTTCCCAGTTGCTAGAGAAGAGCACAGAGCTTAAGTGGAAGGATACATTACGCTATGCAAGTTAAGGCAGTCAGATTTATTAACTTTCCAGTAAGGTTGTTTCAGGTATTCACATCAACGGTGGCTGTGAGCTACTGAACATGTAAACAGATCAGCACTGAGCTCACTTTGAAACACTTAGTATTTCATTAATCTCATTGTGTCAATTCACATGTGACCTGATATCCATGCCCCGGGGGCAGTTTTAAAGATGATTTGAATTATTTAAGCATGGACTGCAGTCTCATGAAATGTAGTGTTACCAAGGTGCATTAAGTTCTGCACTTCAATCCTGCAGGGCTTTGGAAAATGACAATAAACTTATCTGCAAGTGATGCAGGCCTCTTCTTCTGTAATCTCTCAACATCTGGAATATATTGCATATATTATGAAAGGGATGCCTGTAGCATTTCTTTGTCTGAGAAACCCTTAGTAAATTTACTTCAATTTGAAACAGCAGCATCTGATAAATGTAACAGTTTTTGTATTCAGCATGAATCAGGCTACCAAACACCATTACAACAGAACGAAACTAAAGTTGGGTTTAAACAACTTGACTTTTTTCCCCTCCCTTAAGTTCACAGCAACTATTGCCCACAAGTCCCTTAATTACCAACAGATTTTCTTCATCAATGTCTGGAACCATATTCATCATTTCTATAAGACAGAAATAAAGTATGTAAAATGCATTGTGTGCTTGGGTATGTAATTTCTGGGAACAGTTGGTTGCATATGAAAAGTTCTGAACAGATAATGCAGATTCCTTGTTTTAGGTCAGAAACATATGACTAGTCTAAGAAAGTAATCCTTTATATCTTAACTGCAAAGAATAATCCACATTAACCTCTTTCCTGACTTATCAGTACTAAAGGCTGATTGTACCCAAGCGGGTCTACCACTTTGTTTCCAAGGTACACATCCAGCCTAAGCAAAGTTACAGTGGTTTTTTTTGGCATTCTGGTAAATCTGAGGTTTCAATTCAAGATTTTGAATCCTCGGGCACAAACTCCACAGCTAGAACTACTGCTTCTTCATGCAGGCCACAGATTTTAAGTGTTTACCTTTTCACTGGGCATACTCCAATTCATACTTACCTGAGTCGACTCTCCAAGATTTTCATGTTTTGGCTTTCCACTGTTTGTCTCTTTGGAAGGACTGACGACCTTCAAGCTTGCTGGCAAGACCACGTTATCTGTCCCCAGAGCTTTTGCTGCATTAGCTTTTGCGATTTCCAGGAGTTCCCTCTTCTCTACAAGAGAAAGAAAAGTGTCTTTGTCTTGTGTTTAAATCAGCACTTACCTACTCTTACTAGCTAGGAGGTGTACGCACACTAACAGCACTTCTCTGAAAACTAACTCTGAACAATTCTGATGAAACTTAGTAAGTCTAGCTACAGTCTAAARTAATATATAGCCAAGTTCTCACATAACAATGAGACACAAAGTACCTTTTTCGCTCAAGTGCAGAGGCGACCTACTACGAGATCTTGTTCGCGATCTGCTCCTCCAGCTCCTGTAAGCCTCAGGATACACTGTCCGCCCAAATCCGTAGTATCTTCGGCCCCTTGAACGCGACCTGCTCCTCGAATAGGACCTCCTGTAATATGGTCTGCCACGAGACCACGACCTGCTGCGTGATCTGTACCTTGGAGGAGAGCGGTAGTACCTCCTGTAGCGCACGGTGCGGTACCGGCCTCGGTACCTCACGTAGCCCCTGGATCGCGACCGGCTTCTGGAATACGATCGAGAATTTCTTCTGTACCTTCGGGTACCATTTCTTCTACCCCAGGATCTTGATCTGGACCGAGACCGGCTCCAGCTCCGTGAGGAAGCTGAAGAGGAACTACTTGAACTGGACTGTGAGCTGCGAGACGATCTGCTGGATGACCTTGTTGACGACCTGTTGCAACTTGTTTTGGACCTTACGCAGGAATCTCTCTTCTTAGGAGAGCTGAGAGTTAAATCATCCATGAAGTTYGTCATATCATCAGTCTTTCCAATCTTCATTTTCTCCATGCAGGTACTGGAAGTAGGCTCTGTTTTTACTGGTATTCTACAAAAGCCAGTTTCTGTTCCTGTTCAAAGGGGTGGGGAAGGAAAAGGAGTGGAAATGAACSGCCAGATCATTTACACAGCAGCAACAAGTACTATGACAACCACAMGCAAATAGTTTAAGAATAAACAAACAAGGACAATTCTCATCCGGTTTATCAGCGTGCTTTACCTATGACAATTTTGGTTTCATCATTTCCTTTCCTACAGCCAAGAATCTTCTATATGAAAGAAAAAAAAGCTTCAGTTTCAACTATGAGCAACTCCCTGTAGTATTCTAAAAAGAGATATGAGGCTTTAGTTTTAATATTCTTCATTCAGCATCAACATGCTTTAATGTAAAGTGTATGAGTTCATATTCTTCTCAACTGAATGTTTTAAGGCTGGGCCAGACTATTCTAAATACAGTTTACTAACAAGATAGCTACACATACCTAAGTGACATGCCTTCAAGGTCAGTATAAATTCACTACTTCACATTTGCAATTCTACAGAGATTAAGTAGCTACCTCAAATAGAAATATTTACATAACCAACTCAGACAACTGCCACTTCAAGATCCTGACTATCATGTTACAAATTACTTCCAACCAGCACAGAAGGCAAACACATTCTATGCAGTATGAGCAGCACGCCACCCTACCCAACTTGAGAGACACAGCTCATCACTGACAGGGCACAATTTACTGGGGACAAAACACTACTTAAGATGATGCATTAATACATAAGGCATCTGCCTCTCTCTTTAGCRGCAGTCATTTGGCATATGCTAAGGTTATTGCATCACAGGCTACAACTATCCTCTTCCAGCYGCCCAAGTTCCAACTTAACGTCACTGTTTACACTTCAAGGACACTTCTGAGTGAAGTGTGTACTTGGAGCTCGCTATAAGCAAGACTTATCAAGGGAACCAAGTAGCTCTTTACTCTTCACAAGAGACATTCTCATCGTTATTGTGAGCATTTTTTACTACTTCACCTAGAAGTAGACACTAAAAAACACACAAAGAACTTGTCAACTTTGAGCTAACTTCCCTTGRATCTATCCCAAAGGCAGCGCTTGTAGCGCCACGCAACAGCGGAGCACATCACAGCCCCCCTGGCACAACCGCTCGGCACCTGCCGGCTCGTGCAAGCACAACCCTCCACACCTGCCCGGCCACGAACGCTCCTGCGGGGCCGCAGGGGCTGGTTCCGCCGGGCACTTACCGCTGGGGGCGGCCGGGCATCCCAAGGGCTGGTTCCCCGGGGGGATCTGGTCCTTCCTGCAAAAGGGGGAGCCATAAGGTGGCTGTTGCTTCCACGAAGCCCTCTGAAAGCAGCCCCTTCATCCCTCCTCTCCCTCCCATCACCCCATCGAGCAACAGCCRCGGCGACCACCCGCCTCATCCCCTACTACAACCCCGCAGCCGACAGCGGCTCCCGARGACGCCGTGGCCCCAAGCCGGGCCCCGCGGACTCACCCGCTCCAGGCAGCCGGGCCGCCCCCGCACGGGTCCTGCTCCTGCGGCGACGCCTGAGGGGACAAGCCCGCTTCGCGAGTCACCCCCATAGCGGCACGAGGCGCTGCCCGTCCCTCCCTCACAGAGGATGGAGCCCCCAGAGCGCGCGCGGGGGACCCGGCAGCTCCCGCCTCCCGCCGCCGACTGAAACGGACCCAGAAACTTCCAGAAAGCCCCTCCCCCGTTACATAACGGGAGCCAATGCGCATGCGCCGAGCGCCAGGGCGCCTCCCTGCGCGCGTGCGCAGAGCGAGCGTGGTGCCCCTTGACCACAGTCGCCCCCACCTTCTCCCCGGCGCACGCGCAGAAGGACGCGCCGGCCGCCTCACCCTAGCGCGCATGCGCGCGGCCGCCGGGTCTCCTGACCGCGCCGGTGCGCATCAGCTGAGCGCTGCGCGTGCGCAGAGCCGCGCGCCGCCGGCAGGGCCCGTGTCCCGCGCTGAGGTAAG